TTTTCTGTTATAATTGACTCACTTATTTCTATACAATGAGGATATTGTATGCTTTCTTCACTGTGCCTGGCTGTGAGATTAAGCATTTTCATTTCACTCTCAACTCAGATGTAAGATCATAAATGAAGATCTGTAAATAAAAAGATGTTGAAAGCTCTTCATTCAACATGAGATAGTGTAAGCTGAAGTGTGTGAAGTATAATGTAAGATTACTTACTTGTCTACACTCAGTGAAGTATTTATAACACTTATCTTATATATTCACTTTCTCAAAGTTATGCAAGATTCATTTGGAAAACTCATTTCATATTTGTGAGAATGAATATCACTCTGAGTCTGTGAGATTCATCTTTTCATCAGTTATTCATAATGACTTTACTTTTCTGTGTAGAAATGCAGCAGATCTTAAGACTTGTTAAAATTCTGTTAACTGTCTGTCTGTGAGTTCATATTTAATCTGATAATATAATTGCATCTGACTTAGTCAGCTGATTACAGCATCATTTTTTCAGTCATTATTAAAGCTTGATAACTTTGACAGATCTTCTGACTTGATGTATTTCATGCTCAGATTCTCATTCTGTGCAGCAGTCTCTGATGATGTGTATACTTCTGAAGAGATTGTGAATAATCATGATAAGATCTTCAGATTTAATGTAGTTATCTATCTATGTAAATATTTGATCTTCTGCTGCAGGCCTAAGATCTGATTTTCTCTATTCTTATTAATGATGATGATTGCATCAGTGAAGCTCTTCATAGTGAATACTTGATCTGCAGTGAATGCTAATTATTGTTTGACTTCTGTCTCAGCCTGTCACTGTGTATACAAGATCTCAATCTTGTTTAGAATTCTCATATATATACAGAGCTTTAATTCCAGTTCAGCAGTCTCAGTCACTTTTCTTACTGCTTTGAGTAAATTCTCTGAGAGGTTCTGCATATCTTCTGATTCAGATAGCAGAGAAGAGTGTTATTCATATTAGCTAGAGAAGATATTCATTTCAGTGATTTCTCATTGATTATATGATATCTATTATTATATTGCTGTATTATTATATGATTTCTGTTATCATTGTATGACTTCAGTGATGATTATTCTCTCTTTTATTCTTCTTTTGAGTAGAGAGTGAACTTCTTTGAATCTGATTCACTGCTTCCATTCTCTTTCTCACACCTCATCTGTTTGTGTCTCATATGTGGCATTTGCCTGGATGTGAAGTTTTCTCTCAACAAGTGAAGCAGTATCAATTGAATGTTCTTCTGCTCACTGCTCTTTGTATGCTATCTTTTGAGATGTTTCTAGAACCACTCTGACATAATAACTATGAATTACTTTGTAGATGGAATTATCATGCTCTGAAGAAGCCTGTGCTTCTCACTGGTTTTTAGACATGCTATCAGATGTGATTCAAAGGTTGCTTAAGTCAGTGTATGATTACAGGTGTACACCGGCTTCTTATATTGTAATCTTGTATGCTAAATTAATTAGTGTATGCTATGGCCCCTTTGCACTTGTACGCGTACGCTAGTAGTTCGGAAGCGGCCGCGTTATTATCCGACGGTTGTACGTTCTTCCGAACCACATAAAAATAGTAACTTTATATCAAGAATGAAACTAAATGAAATCAAATGAGATCACTTTCTCATTTTTTTCAAGTCATGGTTTCATTTTAAGATCTGATATATAGTCACTTTGCATGTTTATTTAATAATTAGTCCCAGTGAGATTCATGCTAAGAAATGTATGAAATCAGATTAAATGAGACTAAATGTGAAATTCATGATCTCAGCAGCCAGTCTAATTATTACTTATATTCTTAATAGAACTGATTTACTTCTTATCAATAATATTAACTGTGTGAAATTGCTTCACAGTTAGTAAGATCTCTTTCTTTTATAATAAATAGTTCTCAGAGTCTTTGATTTTCTGATATACTTAATCTGATCTTGAAATTTCTTCAAAACTTTCATTAGAGTAGATGTTCTTTCTTATTTCTGTAAGAACTGTATCAGATCTACACTAACAGTGTTATCAGTATCAGTAGTCTCAATTACTCTGCTAGCTTTCATCTGTTCAATTTTCTATTGAAGTTTTATTATTTTCAACTTCATACAAGCTATCTCACTCACAGAGAATAAATTACATAGATTATTTCTGTGATTTGACATTCTGATAATATTGTGAACAAGTGAATCTGTAGAACTGTTCTTATAGTTATTTATTATAGATGTTATCAAGTTAACTGTTATTTTCTATTACACTTTCAATGCTTCTGAATTTCATTTTCTATATACTGATATGTATTTCTTCATTAAATCTGATATTCTATCAGATCTTAAATTAATCATAGATTCAAAGAGACATCTAGACATGTTCAATAATACATGAATATGTGATTAGCATGTTATCAGCAGTTATTTATAGAAGGGCTTCATAACCTGTTGAAGAATAACATTGTTATCTATGTGTAATCTATCTAAGATGAACCTATATACAAGTTGAGTGGCACGTGATTAGGGTAGATGTAGTAATCACCAACAGCATTTTTTCAACCAATCATATCACAGAATGGGCACCTTCTATTCTAATCAGGTTTTGAAACACCTAACATATTGCTTCGCTTCGCTCCGCAAATGAATACAAAATACTAACACCACAAGCGGTAACTCTAGCCAAAAGCCTCTATCATTTAACTATATATATGTATATAACTAGATACGGAGAATATAATAACTATAGCTTCGCCCTATACGCACCTCCATTCCACAACTTCGACGGCGGACTGGTCCGCCCGCGGCCACGCGCCACAGAGTGAGCATAAGGATGGGTGGCCGAATCGGGAACGAGGTGGTCGATATCTCCTGTATTGACGAAGCCCGGATGTGTCTCTTCAAGCGATGTGATTCCTACGAGTCTCATCGCACCCTCTAGTTCGTCTTTCATGACTGTTTTGGGGAGCAGTCAGTATATGCGCACGGGGCATATAGAAATTAGAACATAAAAACGGCCAGTCCTGTAAGGACAGGAAAAACTTACTGTCAAACAAATGCTCCACCCCTTCCTGTCCGTAGTTTGCAGAGAACAGTACGCTCCTTCCCATCCCCACCGCCGTGGCGCCGAGACACACTGCTTTCAAGATATCTGTTCCCCGACGGATTCCACCATCTACGTAGATTTCCATCTTATCGAATATCTCAGGACAGCGCTTATGTAACTCAAGCAGGGTGACGAGGGCCGGCGGGCTGGTGTCCAAATTGCGGCCGCCGTGGTTACTCAGCAGAATCCCGTCCAGACCAGCCTTCATTGCCAGTATCGCATCATCAGCAGACATGACGCCCTTAAGCACAAGGGGAAGATGGGTGTGTTTGCGTGCCCAGATTAGATCTTCCCATGTTAGCGCCGGGTCAATGAAGCCGGCCATGACACGGCCCAATCCACCACCTCTCGAGTCATTCTGCGCTCGCTGTGCAGACATGGGCACACTTAGATTTTCATCAGCACGAACCCTTTCGTCCGCCTCTCGCTTGCCAGGCCATGCAGCGTCGACTGTGATGAATATCGCCCGTATGCGTGGGTTATCTGAGCACTCTTTAAGATGTGCGGCGGACTTGGCGCGGTCCTTATTGACGTACAGCTGGAAGAAATAATTCGCCTTCGGCCCTGCGGCGGTTATATCTTTCATAGAATAGCTGGCGCTGTTGGAGATACCCTGCATGATGCCTCGGGTTTCGCATGCGCGGGCCACGGCCAGCTCACCATCCGGGTGAATGAGTTTCACCATGGCGGCGGGACTGACGAAGAGGGGCATGTTCACATCGCAGCCTAGTATTTTAGTCTTGGTATTGACTTCTTTCACATTGCGGAGGACACGGGGGCGTAACCAGGTGCGGTCGAAGAACGACTTGTTGGCATCGCGGGTGATAAGGTCGTTTGAGGCGCTGGAGTAGAAAGCCCATGTTTTTGCTGTGGCTGTCTTAGAGGCTACAATTTCGAAATCATGGGCGTTTATCAATGTGGTTAGAGCTGGTTTCTCATTGTCTGGCAGGTGATTCACGCTTTGTTCGGGAGGTTCTTTGAGCCATTCATCATCAATGGTGTTCCGGTCTAGAACACCCTTGAGTTTATCCCCGGGAAGACTGTTCTCAATGAGACTTGGGGGGTGAATCTCCGAATATGCCTTCGTTGCATCTCGTCCGGCATACTTGAGGATAACTATCAAAAGCCGTCAATATAACTCGCTGCACAGTAAATATAAAAAAAAAATTGGGGATCGCGGTGCGTACTGCTAGGCCCTCCAGGGTGCTCTTGAAGGAAGTCAGAGACGTCCCAAACTTGGTTATCAACAACGATCCAACAATCATTAGCTGCCTTATGTGCACCAACTTCCAGTGCGGAGATATGGGGTTTATTGTTAGACTTCGACATGATTGTACAAATTTTTGTTGTGTCAATTTTCTCTCTGCCAAAACCATAGGGAAGTCTGCCGTTTTTGACCGCACGAAATGAAGCGATCCTCTGAGTCTCTGACGGCGGGGGAATCAATGAAAAAGAAATGAAAGAGCTGCTGCAATTGTCGGGTCACCAAGTGCGGAGTCGCGAATAGCCCACTACCCCTGAAGCGCGAATTTTCTTTCTGGTCTTTGTCTTGAATATCCAGTAGAGAGAGGCCTTTGTTTTTTTCAAGAGTATCAATGACGAGGCTTACTCAAATAAGATCGAACTTCGCTGATGGGCTGGGGATTTACGATGCAAGGAGATCATGCTCGATGACAGATGCCGAACGGGGCTCGCCATACTATTCTGTGGGGATAGAACCCATGGCCCCCAGGCTTCGCGATGCCGAGCGGTAGCGTTGAGACAAGCAAAGACCCCACTTGTATGGTTCCGAGCGAATCGTGAGAAAGATATTGAAATTCCAGCCTCCTATTAGAGTCTGCGTTGAAGTGAAGCGATGGTCGGGTCGTGGAGGTAAAAAACGTTGAGCCAGATTTGGCCGACAATGACTGATTTCCACATCCCAGTGCTTTATATGCACTTCTTCCGGAAATACTATTTTCCTATTTCCCTTGCACTTTACTTTGGATTCAATATCAAAACCATTTGGAAACAAAATATCAACTCATTATTTGGAGATTTAGTGGTCAAATGATACAGTCTCATTCGTTAAGGACTCTCTATGTCGGGTTAATTCGTGCTGGCAAACCCTTCCGTTATACACTACTTCCAAAAGCTAGAACGTATTCGGTGCTGAGTTGTAAGCTTACCCCTCGACAAGGTGAGTGAGATACTTGCCCTCTGCCTTCGATATAATTCTCACTTGCTTGTATCTCCATATATAGCACATCACAATTTATTGCTGCGGTATGACTCAATAAGGAACTGTGTAAACACGCCCACTCAGAATTATTTCCCGTCAAGGCGCAGTGAGGTTACTCTAGCCAGCATGGGAGAATCTATCAAACAGCTGCGATATGCCGACGTAGGTTCGCATCACATGTTCTTGTTTGCGTAGCTGAACTTCACAGGCGCACCCTGTCAAACTTCGCAAGAAGAATACCGCTAAATGTTTTTACGAAACAGGTTGCAATCAACCTTGGGGACCCAGTATTCACGGGTGTCTATCACGGAAAAAAGGTTCATGAAAATGACTTGGATGATATTATCCAGCGGGCACTGGATGTCGGCTGTCAAAAACTTATGGTCACAGGCTCTGACCTAGACGAGTCGAGACATGCTGTAGAAATGGCCAAAGCTCATCGTATGTATTCGCATACCTCCCTGTGAGGCTGTGACCAACTCTTCCCCCCAACCTTACACAAACCACAATGGCCATGATCGACCCGAATTTTCGCCTAACATTAATATAGCCGGTATCTGCTACGCCACCGTCGGCGTCCACCCCTGCCAGGCAAAACTATTCGACTCCTACCGAGAAGGCCCAGAGAAGATGTTAGAAGAGCTGCGGACACTCGCGCTCGAAGCCAAGGCATCTGGCCATGCCGCAGCATTCGGCGAGATAGGTCTTGACTATGACCGCCTTTTCTTCACGCCCAAGGACCAGCAATTAAAGTACTTCGAGGCACAGCTGGATCTTGCAGTCGAGATCCAACTGCCGCTATTCCTGCATTCGAGAGCTGCTAGCGAGGATTTCGAGCGGCTGCTCACCCCACGTCTGGCGAAGTTGCCTAAGGGTGGTTTGGTGCATAGCTTTACTGGTACTATGGAAGAGATGCAGCGGTTGGTGGCCTTGGGGTTGGATATTGGTGTGAACGGGTGTAGTCTTAAGACGGAGGAGAATTTGGAAGTTGTTAAAGCAATGCCCCTTGAACGGATACAGATTGAAACCGATGGGCCTTGGGTATGTATAATCTTTTATTTTTTATTTTTATTTTTTTTTTCCTTTGGTTAACATTCGTTCCTTATTCAAATTTTACGCGACTTATATACCGAGTATACTTACTGCTTAACAGTGTGAAATCCGGCCCTCACATGCTTCCTATAAATATCTTGAGGGCGCCCCACCGTTACCGAAATCATTCAAAAAAGAGAGATGGCAAAAGGGCTGCATGGTAAAGGGTAGAAATGAGCCTATGGCCATCTACCAGGTTGCCCAAGTCCTTGCGAATTTGAAGGGCATATCTGTCGAAGAGGTTTGCGAAACGTAAGTTTTTTAACATATTTTTCCAAATTGCCCCGTTAATAGTTGGTTGTAAACATGTATGTATTCACATTTGTGCTAACCGGGGTGATGTCCTGCTCTGAGATAGTACTTGGCAAAATTCGATAAAAATGTTTGGTCTTGGAGAAAATAGGGCTTGAGCAAGCTCTTGCAAAGACCAGGCTGCCGCCACTTGCCTCTGAACAGTTATGAAAGTACAGTGCATACATACATACGAAATGGAAATAAAACGTGGGCCGTGAGTGAGCTGGATAGTGCACACATCGGATTTATTAGTTACATAGATTAGAAACACAATGAAGCAGAACTAGAGAAATTACGGGTGGCCCGATTAAGGTAAGCGCCGCTGGGCATGGATGCTTAGGCGACTCGCACTCGCCACAACTACCATACGAAAAAAAAGAAACGAAAAAGGAAAAAAGAAAAGAAAAGAGAAAAAGAAAAGAGAAAAAGAAAAAACTAAAACAGAGCAAGAAACATAAAAGCTCCTGAGCAGCCCGCATGCATAGGTTTGTTTTTTAAAGAACCTCCAAAGAGGCTGTGCATTCTAGTTTTGCAATTGCAGTGGAAGCGATTCGATTACCGAGCTGGATATCTGCTTTTTGAGTTTATATTTAGCTCGCTTTCTACGGAGTACAAAAACTGCAAAGCAGATATGTATGTACATAGATATCTAATAATAATCCGACTTGTACAATTAATAATGAATCCATTCATTCCCCGCCATTATTCTCTCTCTCCCCGCGCGGTGGCACTCCCGAAACATGCTATCGCCACGTGACCCTCTCGGTTGCTGCGGAAGGTGTGGCGGCCGGGGCCGGAACAACCAGCTCCGGCACAGCTTGAGCTGTCTCGCCGCTCGCGTGCCAATTGTCCGCTGTTTCCACGAACGGCCTCAACTTCAACTTCAACCTCAACTTCGACTGAGACTTCACCCTCCGCCAATCCTCCCCGCTGCCATTCTCCCTTCTCTCCCTTCCCTCAGCCTTCCCTCAGCACCGTGCCCAAAGAGCAGCGTCTCTTCAAAACTCCACCCAAGCTCGCCATTGTCATTCAGATCTACCTCCTTACTATGGAT